GTCGTCAGCGTGTCTGGATGGTCAACACCAAGCACCTTCTCACGCGTCATCAGCGTCTGCCTGAGCATCGATTCCGCCTCCGCGTACTTGCCTTGATTGCCTAGTGCTACGGCGAAGTTGTTCTTGCTCTTCAGCGTCAAAACATCCTCATTGCCCATACTTCTCTCCCTCAACACCAGCGCTTGGCGATGCATCGCCCCTGCCTCCGAGTACTGGCCCAGCGTCGATTGGCAATATCCGATCCGCTCAAAAAGCGACGCTCTTGTCGCCTCATCCACCGCAATCTCTAAAGTGGCCAAGTAGATTGCGTGCGGAAGGTACATTGACCAGGTCTTCTTCTCGTCGTGTCCACCGTACGGCAAAACCTCCTCGAGCCTCTCTGCTGCTTTAACTACCCAGCCCTTCTTTTCACCATGGTCCTCCAGCCACCTCGCTAACATAATATAGACCAGCCGGTGCATATCAAAATATGCCTCACCACCTAACCCAGGTAGAGCCCGCTGCCGCTCTGTGATAAATGCGTATCCTTTCAGCGTCCCAATCGCTTTAATTTGCTGCAGTAAAGACCCTGTTAGAGGCAATAGTGACTGCGGGATATTACTTCGATCTATACATGCCATAAAAGAGAGGTACTCCGCGGCAAGTGGGTCTTCCTTTTGAATCTGATCAAATGAGATGTACCATGTTTTTGCGATCGTGCTGTGCATTTGGCGGTATCTACTTGGGTCCTCAAATTTCTCGCCAAATGTTCCCATCTCCGTATTTTGCATTAATCAAATATATTCCGCGACTGAGATCTCATTACGATTCATGAAAGCCGCAGCCTGCACAATAGCAAGTGCATGATAAGCGAGTGTCTCTAGCAGCTCATCAACAGCTCTTCCATCGGTAAGCAATGCCTGTTTCGTGACGCGTCGCTGTAACAGCTGCCGTGCTTCGACCCCGATCATATCCTGCAACTCCAGTATATCCGCCTGGGATAAATCGCTGGCCGCTTTCCTGCTTCGCGTTGTGAAGATGATCTTGCCGTTGTTACTGTATGGAATATAATCCAGCAGTCGAGTTTCACCGCTCATCAGCATCTCAGTATCATCCGCATTGTCTACAATCATCAGCCAATTTCGCTTATTCGACCTTAACGTCTCTTTAATCAGCCGCTTAATATCTGCATTATCGTCACCCAAGCCCGGCACATTAAGCAGTGTTCCGATTTCGTGATATGCGAGCTCAAAGGTTTCTTTGCTGATAGCAGGCACCCAGAAGATAAGGCGTCCAGGATCTTGCGCAAGTGTACGGTATGCAAACTCAAGCACGAGCGCTGATTTCCCGCACCCGCCCAGTCCACATACAGTCAAACGTCGGTGGATATTCGGAAGGAGGAAATGCTCAAGAATCCTGAGTTCATTTTCTCGTCCAACGAATTGTTCATTTCGTGGAAAGGGCAATGGTAAGGCAACTATATATGGTTAGTCACTGGTGCCTTGAAGAGAACGCTCCGCTTAAGTCTATATACCTGTCAAGTCACCTAGATTCTTTAGGCCTTTACTTTCCTGTCGTCTCGCTATCTCGTGTCGAAGCCGGTCTGTCGCGTACGCTTCACCTTCTCCGTATATAAGGGGCAGGAATACTCCAAATATCCCTAGGAGGCAATATACTTTATCCTCCTTCAGTGTAGTCGTGCGTCGAGCGGCCCACTCCAGTCGTTCTTCTATGCTGAACGTGGAGAACTTTCGTTGTCCTCTAAGGACTTCGATGAGAAGCTTGGTGATGTCATGAATCTCTCGCTCTAACGATATCTTACTGCCTAGTAGTTTCGCATTCTTGGAGAAGAACTCCACGATAGGCGGCGCTAATAGCTCCTGCAGCGTCCAGCCTCGCGTGAACCATCAGCTACGTCGGAAGCTAGCCTCCCATGTTATTTGGAAAGCCTCGGGGTCAGTAATCTCCTCTGGCACTTGGACATCAGATAGATACACATAGCACTTCTTCGCGTGTTGATAATATCGAAACATCGAGTTAATTGCTGTGCTAAGTTCTGCGCTGTCAGACTTATCGATACAGCAGGTATCTACCCAGCAGTAAGTTATGCCATCGTAAGCCGCTCTGTCCATACAGAAGCGGATTTTCGCGAAGCCAGTCTTGCCTCTGCCAGTACCACCCACTAGATCGCTGTATGTGACCTCTTGGTCCTGACTCCAGGTGTGCGAGAGAATGGCATATGGAGGAGTGCTATCATCAGGGAAGGAAACCAGCTGAAAGCCGCCGATGGATGAGGCCTTTAGCAGCCGCATTGTAACATAAGCGCGAATTAAGGTGGAAATACTATAAGTGCAGAGCAGAGACAATTCTATTATAATCTGCTTAAGTCCGAAGCCCGCATCGCAGATGTCAACCAGGTTATAGGCTGACGCTCAGCTAGTGCTTGAGGCTGTGAGGTGTGAAAGTGCTTGTTAATCAAGCCAGAAGTTAGCACTCGCGTCTGGTCCAAGCGCCTTCCTGATATGTACCTCCAGTGAGAAAGCTGTTGTGTTTTCGGCTGGTGAATCTTTCAACATTTATATTATTATAGGAATAACCACTTAAAGAAACCACCCAGCATGCTTGATCCAGTGCCGGGAGTCTGCATTAGTCAAAGGCGAAACTAGAATAAACATAGCCACAGATTGCATTGCTAAGGTTAAGAGTAGTTATAAGACTTAAATGGATATATTTCACTGGAATATTAATGAGTTCGAAGCTGATTAAGCTATGAAATAAATTTAATCTCAGTGACTTGTCAGTTGGCACTGGCAGGCAAGATCCTTAGTTTCTTTTTGCACGTGATAAACTAGACAAGTTTCCCATTAACTTAGTTACCTTTATCTCAGCAGGCTCAGACCCTCAGAGGGCGTTTCGTGCCTTACCCTATGGGGTAAGGCTTTTCGCACTAAACTCCTTTAAACTCCTGCACCAATTAGATGCCGTTATTTCGAAAACCCTCTGAGGGTCTGAGTGCAAATGGTCGCAGTTTGTTAGTGGATGCAAGACCTCTAGT